TTTTTTTCTTTCTTTTATTATTCACTTTTTTATCTCTTTTTTATTTGATTTCTCTTTTATATTTATCTCGCCACTCACTTTTTTCGCTCTCTCTTGTTTAGTTTTCCCACAAGTTTTTAATACTCAAAGTTCATTATCTTTCTCATCTTATTTTGGTCTCCTAAGGCACTTTAATATAAAATTTTTATGGAGTTTTTTTTATCTTTAATGGCTCATTAAAATTAAATGTCTCATATATCCCTCATTTTTTCTCTTAATTGATTTTTTTTTTGTTTTTTTAATCTTTTACCTTGCATATTTTTCTTACTCCACCATCAAAGTTTATTTTTTAGCCCCTCAGTTTTGTCTCACAAACCAATTTTTGTTGATTTAGCTAAATTTCCTTTTTGTATTTAAGTGTAAGACACTATTTTATATAACAACTTTTTTTTTCTTATTTTTTACAACAAAAATCATATGTTAGTGTGAATAAGTTTTATTTTTTAAATACAAAGTAGATTTTGATTGTATTTTTTTTAAAAAAAAAAAACTACTTGAGATTTTAATGTTACATTTTAAGTGATTTATTATGTCATATATTTATCAAAAAATAATAATTTATTGTGTTTTAACTTCACAAATTTATGTAATATTAAAGTAGTATCTAAAGAGTGATAAGGAGTATGGATTTAACTTTACTCTCGTCCTATCATTCGCCTTAGCTTTCCTTTCTCTCTCTATAAATAAAATTGACTTGTGGTAATTTTATAAATTCATTAGTGTTTAAGGCTTTTGGTTGAGTTATTGGCAATTAGTGTAATTATTATAAACTTTTTGTCTATTTAGTATTTATATTAAAAAAAAGTTCTTTTGTTATTATTGTAGATTTTATATCTTCTTTATTTGCATAGAAAGCTTATTTTATCTTTTTTCACAATTATATTTGATGAAATTAATTTTTATTTTATATCATTTTGTATTCGTATGATTTTTTTTCTATTTGAGGTTATTTGAGTAAAAATCATTTTTTTTACTTTATGCAATATATTTGGGTAAAAAATTATATTTGGTTTAATTGTAAAATTAATTATGTTGTAAATTAAATAAATAATATTAAATATATATATATTTTATCTTTGATTGTAAATGTGAAGTAACTTTTTCTCATTCCTTAACCTAACTTAATTGTATACAATATAATTCGAACTCATGATCTCATATGTCCATAAAAAGAAAATTACCGTAAAAATACTTAGATTTTTGACCACATATGGTATTAATTATTAAAAGATTTCTTAAATCGATACTTAATATCACATTTTTTTCTTGGAATTGTAGACAATCAAGATGCCTTAGCCGCCATTAAATTGTCATAAATAATAATGAAAATACTTAAATATTCTTAATAAATCAATATACAAGAAAGATCCATTGAAGATATTTGAATAGTTTCATAAATAATCCTATCAATTAAGATATTAGAATATCCTAATTTTTACTTTTCATTTTTTTTTGTGTTTTATTTTATTATTTGTTTCTATAGATAATTTTTTTCCTTTTAAAAGATAACTATATCCTTGTTTCCTTGCAATCGGTAAGGCGGTGTAGGTAATACTAGTTATTTTTAAGAGAGTCTCTGTTGGGCTTGTATTGGATTCGGAGACTCTCTTATCCTCTAACTTATTTTATTTATACATTATACCACTCATACTCATTCTTTTTCTTTTTCTTTTTTTTGAATTTAGGGAATTTTTTGGGGATGGGGGAGTATATAGTACTGAAAACAAACTTAGGACTTCATATCTGAGCACTTTCTATTAAGGAAGTGATCATTAGATCACATAATACTGGACCAAACTCATAATTTTTTATTTTTAAAATATATGAATTAATTATTAAATTATTTAAATCATTGCTTTGTTTCTGATTATCTTTAAATGTGAATTAAATAAAATAATATTAATTATTATAAAAAATTATTATACAATTTAAATTTTATTATATTATCCCAACACTAATTAATGGATAAAAAATCTATCCTTAATTAATAATTTTTTATTTTACAGTAAAATATAATTTCCAACAGCAAAAACAGGAGACTCTTACGAACATTAAAAAACATTCATTTGAACATCTATCACTCTTTAATTCATTTCAAATACATATATCACTATGGTTTTCTCTCTATGTGTGAGAGGTATTTGGCCGTCAAGGTGGTTTGTGCGTGGATTTTGGTTGTCTTTGAGAGATAGAGTGTTTTTGTGTGGCTGGTTTGTCCTCTTGGGTGTGTTGGAGCTTGGACGAGCGGGAAGATCGGCGGAGGGCATATGCAAAGTTGGTTGCTGCAACAGGGATTTGGTCATCTTTGTCGACTGTGGCCGAGCAAGGGCTATCGTCGATGGAGGCCCCGTGGGGTTTTTCCCTTGGTAGTTCCTTGTCCTTTGTTTCTTTAGTTCCCTGGTCAGGAGTTCTGGCTGTGGCACAAACCGGCGATGGAGATTTGGGTGTTTTTCCTTGTCTGACTGCGTTAAGGTGGAAGGAGACCATCTTGCTTGTGGCGGCATGGGTGTGTAAGATAAAATGAACAAATAGATTTGTGAGGAAAAACCCTTCTGCAAGATACAAGAAGTGGTTGTAGTTTTCCATTTATATATAATTACAGGATGAGTGGAGGAGTGGCGAACCGGTGTTGCTCAGTTTGGAGGATGGCTGACGAAGGTGTGGCGGCCGTGGCGGCAGAAGGGGGTTACGGAGGTGGTGTGAGTGGGCAGGATTTGTTGGCTACCATGCAATATTATTGCGGATTTTTTGGCTAATAATCAGGGATATGATCGATTTTTCCAGGTGATCGATGCATGGCAGTGGATCTGGGTTGTTATCCCTATTGCGACACTCTTGGGTACTGTTTGATGGGGAATTGGTTTTCCGAGGGATCATGGTTTGCCGGCAATTCAAGGATGGGACAGTTCAAATGGGGAAAGGATTTTGGTTGCAGATACTCGAGTGGGAACGTTGGAAAGTGAGTGCGTAGGAATAGGAGAAGATGATTTCTTAACAGATTTGATTGCTAGAATGGTAGCTTGGGCTTTTGGGCTTCTTTAAGTTAATTATTTGGTTGTTATAAAACTCTACGACAATAGCCTTTTCTGCAGGTTTTTTTTTTTTTTTTACATAAAGAATTATTGGAAAATAAAGAATTTTTTTAAATGATAAATAAAAATCAAAATTTTCACCAATTAAATCAAAATATTATAATTTAAGACCAACCATGGGATTCGAAGTCCAATGCACCTTTTCTATAGGGATTTGGAGATATGAGCATTCATGACTTGCATATTTTCTTACAGTCCCTTAATGATTGTTATAACTTTTTCCATAAAAAATGGAAAAACATTCATTCGAGCCTCCATTATTATAGATGCTATCCAGTTTGCAACAGGTTGAATATTTGCATTAAATTCAAGTATTTTGTTGGGTAAAAAGAGAGATAACTGGGAATAAATCCATGTGATCTATTGATTTATCATCTGAATTTAAGTGCTTGGTTTTAAGTGGTCAAAAATTTTACTCTCATCTACTATTTAAAAAAATATTCTCTCATGTTCCAAAAAAAAAAAAAAAAGATAGTTGGGCTTGGAGGAATGACTAATTAATCTTGTTTAAATTATAAAAATTTAAGAAAAAAAGGTAAATTGCATGAATGGTATATTATATAAAAATACATATATAAATAACATTTATTCCTTATTTTCACTAATTTTATTTTCATAGTATAAATGTGAGTTAAAAACTCAATAACTAAAACTTAAGAGAGAGCCATTATTAGCCAAGTTGTGAAGCTTCCATTAAGGCCCGCTTCCAGAAACTGTGTAATTCCATTAAGGCAGATAATAATAGAACTTGTCAACTTCATTAGATTCTGCTTCATGTGGTTCTAGGAAAGTGTACCTTCATTGCGTCTCCACTATTGGTGATCTTTTCAGACATCTTTTTATATTCCTTCTCAGCTTCATCTATCACTTGCTGGCTTGCTTGTGCTTGGATCTGTTATGCAATCATACAGATGAGAACATTTTCCAACAACAAATGTAGAACTCTGCAGACAATTAACTGCCTATTTCCATCCAAATCAAGACCAATTAATACAATCTGATGATTAGAATGAATCAAATTTCTAATAGTTAGAAGTCAAATATGTTGTAATTAGAACCAAATTACCATACATAATATCTTTGGTTAATTTTTAGTAGGAAATGCCTGATTTAACAATCAACTCGAGAAGAAATTCCACAATCATTTTCTCACATTTTATTTTCTTGGCAACCAAACAAGATGAGTTGACTGAAATATCAACCAGGTTTGGTAAAAATTTTGTTTGGCTGCAGAAGGTCCATAGGAGAACTAGAACAGTAGAACGGAAATAGAAAGGTTAAACCCCTATTTTGGTCCCTGAACTATTGTACGGACCTCCGATTTGGTCCCTAAACTAAAGAAATCCCTAAGTTGGTCCTTGAACTATTGTACGAACCCCTAAGTTGGTCCCTAAACTATTGTACGGACTCCAAAGTTAGTCCCTAAACTATTGTACGGATGCCCAATTTGGTCCCTACTGTTTACCAATTTAATCCCAACTTGGTCCTTCTGTTAAATTGGGGCAAAATTGTAAATAGTAAGGACCAAATTGGGGATCCGTACAATAGTTCAAGGACCAACTTAGGGCAAATTATAAACAGTGGGGACCAAATCGGGGGTCCGTACAATAATTTAAGGACCAAATCAGAGATTTCTTTAGTTCAGAGACCAAATCGGGGGTCCGTACAATAATTTAGGGACCAAAATAGAGATTTAACAAAATAGAAATGATAAGATCACATAAATTTCCTCTCTAGCACTCTAGAACGAACTGTATACAACTAATTAGCAAAGAAGTCAAAACTGTACTATACCAGCTGATACGGCCGGTATGTACTGGTTTTGACAGTTAACCGAAATGATATAATATTAATTTTTGTTTTGATCAAAATTTGGTGTATTGATCGAAATTTCGGTGTACCAATTGGTTCACCGAAATTTCGGCCGCTACACACTGCAAATTAAAAAAAAAAAAGAAGGATTCCCCTAGCCCAAATCGACGTCGTTTTGGGCTAAGGGTTTTTTCAACGCCTGCAACTACAATACATAGAAGCTGTCCGTATAGTTCAAATTCAAATTTAAAAGGGTAAATTTCATTTTTGATCCTCAACTTTAATGTCATATATAATTTTTATCTTTTAACTTTTTTATGTATTTTTTTAATCCATTTTTCATTTTCTTTAGTCTTTCTATCAATTATTTTGTTAAATTTATCTAAATATAAACATTTTTAGTCCCTTAATTTAAAGTGGATGGACGAAAAATATACATATATTAAAAGTTGAGAGACTAAAAATGATCATTTTAAACTTATTTTTAATTTA